AATTATATGCTACTCATGGATAGATTAAGTGGCCTTAAGATTGAGCTTTTGCTCATTGTAAAAATGGACTGGATCAACTTAAAAAAATGTCTTGATAATGATTATCTCCTAGGTTTGGTTGAAAATAGCATTGAATTAATAAATAGCTTTTTGAATAGTGAGTACGCAAGGAGATAATGAGATCTTTTCTCATGTTCTATCTTTGACCTCGTGCTTTCTCCCTAAAATGATAGGTGAACAAGTAGGGAATAAAAACCGTTTTCAGGGAAACTATGATATTTTCTTCAGTTATGGCCACTTTTAGGAAAAAAGTGGACCCATTATTCAGATCGGGTTGCTACAAAATAATTTGCTAATGTGGTCGCTTTTATATTGGAAAGATTTGTCGTTCCATTCGACAAAGGGTGGCTGAGCACAAAAGCTCATGTAGAAGCTGTAGGGTTCAAAAATTGGAGTTGGCTGAACAAAGGCAGAAACTGGACACGAGATTAAATGGTCTCAAACTTCCCGTTTTGCTGATTATGGCATGTCTACGGCTAAACCAAAAATTAGAGAAGACATCGAAATATACAGAATAGGGAAAACATTGAATGCAAGGAATACCGACAAGAAGATAAGTAAAATTACTTGTACTCAATCAATAGACTTAAGAATAGAAAGGGTGCTGAGCCGACTGCAAAATGGAGGCAACTAGTCTTTTGTTGTCTTGGTTCTAATCATAGTGAATCCTCTGTATTTTTTCTCACATAAAGATGTAGTGACCTATCCCTACACTTTCCATTCATTGTTTAATTTTTGCTACATCCCATAATTAGCCATGGCTCAACATGCCTTGGGGCAGAGATCACGTGGGTGATTGATCTTGACACTTTACATCGCGTTGTCCAATCAAAGCTTGGCACGCATAGTCCAATATGAAGTTGAAATGGAAAACTATCCGAGAGTATATCAAGTAGCAAGCATCCTGTTTCAATTGGTCACGTTGTTTCTCTCCTATTTCTAACCCTCCTTAAATGATTGTATAGAAGTTGTTTGACCTTGTCTTCGCAACTCGGTCATATTGGTGGGAAGACTTAGAGAAACGTACCCTGTTCGGAGTACATTGTATGCATGATCAATTCCAAAGTCAGACCGTGGACGTGGTACATTCGCAAACGTTTCACCGGCATCGTCAGTGAGTTGTGACAGTCGTAGCAGGACATTACAACTCGTCAAAGCGACAAGTGAAGCCGATACATTGATTAAACGTGTATGGTATCTCCCATTCTGCCCTTGCCTATTCACATTTCCTATATCCTCCTATCGCCCCTTCACTGTCACAATTTTTTACTTGCTTGATTAAATGTGGTACGGTGTGCCCTTTTGAGCGGCTGTCATGAGAACCGTCCGCAGACCACGCTGCCCTTCTCACCCCCCTTCATCCTTGTGCTGGGACTGTTGAGCAGTCTGCCATATTGTTACACAGTCCTCCTTCCCTAGGTCTTATCACACACTCTCTCTCTTGCTCCGTAAGA